CAGTGGTAGCTCCTCAGTCAGGGAACTTTGTTTCCTTGGAAATCCATTTTGGAGTCTAAGCCTAGCCACACTTTGGAAATATTGTAAGACTCTCCTGCCAGCACCTTTGCCTTGATTTTCATGGTCAGGGAGAAGGGAAGGTTGATTTCCTTGACACTGCATTTTAGTAAGATGGGTTGTGTCATGAGGTTTTATGGTTTCCTCCTTAATATATTAGATTGTTTTTGGTACACCACCTTGAGCTAATAGATAAGGGGTGTAAAAATCCAGAGGAAAAATTAAATTAGAATAGTCTCACAATTTCTGTTCCTGTGACAGATCAGTCTAACATGATGAATGTTGTCCTGTTTTTACTGGGCTTCTTGCTGCATATGAAATGATGGGGACTGAATTTCAAATGCAAATGTAATCGCTAATACAGCTTAGATAAAATACTTTCTGATATATTGCTGAAGGCGTAATCCTTCAAGTTAATAAAAGAGCTAGCATACTTTTTTTGCATTATTGTCATACCAACTGAAGATTAATAATGAAGTGTTTTGACGGGGGAGAGAGGGTCAAATAGGTCCATCACACAAAGTAGGTTGGATTGGTGGTTTAGTTTATGCATGGGAGAGAAATTCAGACTGACAACTGGGCTCACAATTTCAAGTTTATCTCATGAGACGTGGATGTCACATCTAAGGGGCATATCACAGTGTCTTGAAGTAACATAAATGCAACATTTAAGATGGTGATTTGGGCATTGATGAGCAGTGTCTGTACCAAGAGTTTGTGGGGTTATCATGTATTAAAAGGAATCAGTTAATCATTATGGAGAAACCATGTTTAATCCGTCTGAGAGAATGTTCTGTAGCAGCAGTTGCAATCGATTCAATTGTGTGAGGCTCTCATCACCTCTGTAGCATTCCCATTGCTCAAACTTATGAGATGGTTGGTATTTTGAGAGTCCGAGATTAAATGTCAATCCTAAGAGACGAAGATAGAGATCTTTTTCATTGGCCCTGAAGGCTAGGCAGCTTCGGTGCTGCCATCCCAGTACAGTGGTCATGATGTTGCCACCAGATACCTATGTGAGTGTAGTTTCTGTGCAAGCCCTTTCATGAAGGGCATCATTTACTGAATGCAATTTTCTCATCTTTCCAAATGAGTTTCTTATCTACCTATGCAATGATCCCTGTGAGGATCAAGGAAAAGAGGTGAAGTAGTGACATGCTTTAGAGCCAGCAGGAATAAGATTTTGCTCCCATGTTACATGTTTTGGCTGTTTGGATTGTAGTAGTTTAGCATCATAGTAATCCCTGGAATATTTTAGAGCAAGGAGCATCCATGCTCATAGAGTTTTGTACCTGAGATTGTGGATTAGCAGCAGTTCTACTTTTTTCAAAGTTCTGAAAGTTACTTAAGTCTGAGTCAGAAGTTCTCAAGTGAACTTTCTGGGGGCTAAAAAGTTAAACTCTGGGGGAAATGAAAGTCTCATGGAAGTCCCCTCTCATGGTCACCTTTTTATCACTTATCTGTGATCCTGTCAGCTGTGAAAACAGCACTTCCTGCTCCTGCTGGGCGCCAATTCTTCTTCGTTACCTACAAGTGAGGGTAGCCTGTATAGTTTTCACTCTGATTTAGCTTCAGATGTCATCCTATAGTCTGATCCCTTTGGTTACATGAAGACAGAGGACATGGTTGGGTGGTGGGAGCTGTGATAATCACACAAACTTTTATTTCAGCAAGACATAATGTCACCAATGAAATTTGGCTGTTGGACAACTTCTGAAGCCAAACAGAATGAGGGCAGTGCCTTGAGGAGCTTCCACTTGGATGGTGGGTGAGCCAAAGAAAGGAAGTGAATGAAAATAGAAAAGGGGGAGCGAAGGTAACGTAAGATGAATGGGAGAAAGAATGGTTTCAGTTACTTAAGCTTCAGTTCAGCCAGGAATAAAGAGGTATTAAGACATAAGCTTTACAGAAAAGTTAGATATTGAGGAAAATATGGAGCAAGGCATTATATTATATATGTGCTCTATGTAACACTGGACTGAAATTTCCACCTCCTTTTCCCCTAAATAACCTTTCACAAACACAGGGGCAAATTCTCTACTATTTCCTTGCATTTCAGGATAGTTGCATTGCTGCTTTATTTATTTCACCTCATGAGGTGGGTATAGTTTACCACTTTCCTTTTTCTTAAAGCCTCACACCACACAGAGGTCAGGATTGAATGATGTGTCAAGCAAGGGAAGTTTTTTTTTTTACCTCCATGACATCCCCAGAAGTAAAATGCTATCAAATATTTTTTTCAAATTTTCTTCACCATTTTTTGTTTGGTGTTGCAATGACTGTCTCTCCCCACATTTCCCCAGTGTGGCTATGTGTGAAGCTGCCAACACAGTTAATTCTGTTGCTGTTTGCAGTGCCTGCACACAAAGGCACACACAAAGACACAACCCCAACACCCCTAGGGGGTAAAAAGCTGTGCTACAGCTCCTGCCAGTGGTGGGCCCTGCACCTAAGAAATGGTTGGAAAATTTCCTTTCCCCCTGGTGAAATTCAGTGAAATTGTACACTCGGTTGTACTGCTCACAAACATGGTGATGAAACCTGAGAAGCCATTGGCTCATGGCTCTTGTTTTGGTCTATATAGCTTCAGAAGGTTGGGGCAAGTCTTACAAGGCTTGAGAACACGATATTTAATGGAGAGCCTCTTGTGGTATGACCTAGTTGTACGGGTCATACTGAGGCCTCCTCTGAAGAAGGCTTGCAAGAAAGCAACAGGGGAGAGGCCTGCTCAGTAGCGGCCCTCCCAACTCAGTAATATTCTTCCAGGCGAGATCATTCCAGTGTTGACATTGCCGTCTTTTTGTCACTGGATTAAGACTTCCTACTTCTCCCAGGAATTGGATGATATGTGATGGGACTTGGAAACAAGGATGGTTTTATTGAGGCCTGGTATTTTATTGGTACTGCTTTAGCTTTTCTCTCTATATAAATGTTTTCTCTTATGTTTTGCTGCGCTATATTTTAGGGTTTTTTAATTGCCAAGAGAGTTTTGGCTATAGAATACAGAGTACAATAGGGGAAAACTGTTTGAATTGGGCTGATGGTACTTGTGCTTTGAATACCTCTGATTTGGGATATATACGGCTGACATTTCAGGTGTTCTTTACTTTCCAGAGCTTCTGTCTGTACCATAGGTTCCCACAAGCAGGCAACTATGTGAACTCTCATCTTATATTCTGCCTGTATAAATAATAATCTTAAATAAATAAACTAGAAATACCAAGTCCAGGGATCTCCTTCTAGAGAAAAGGAATCTCAGGTAAGTCCCAGGATATGCAAAACTTCGTACCTCTGAATTAATTAATTAATTAAATTTATATCCAGCCTTTTTTTTCTTATAAAGAACTCAGAACTGCTAACATAACACTCCTCTGCTTGCTTTCAGTCTTACCCCTACAACAACAATCCTGTGAGGTAGAGTGGACTGAAAATCTGTGACTGGCCCAAAGTCATCCATTTGGCTCCATGACTCAGTGAGGGCCAGAACCCAGATCACCTGAGTCCCAGTCCTGTGCAGGGAATATGTATTTCCCCCTTCTGTTTTCCACAGTGATGATTTCTGATGGTGTCTTCATGAAGAAATACGGTTCATTTACGTGTTCATGAAAAATTTAGCATGATACATAAACTTGAGCCATACTGGGATGATCTTCTTAGGGGGTGTGTGTGTGTGTGTGTGTGTGTGTGAGAGAGAGAGAGAGAGAGAGAGAGAAGGAAAAGAAAAGGGAAAAAAGAGGGGGAAAGGAGAGACTTTAATTGTGAAGTTGTGTCAGGACCTCCTTACCAAACAGTGTGAATGAATCACCAGGACCTGCAGGGCAGATTGAATCTCCTTGAACCCCAGCAGTGTTATTGAAAGATCACCCTGGCCCCCTGCAGTTACTTACGACAGCATGCAGTCTGGACCACCAACAGCAAACTTTTAGAACATATACAGAGTGTTTTATACTCTGAGTCACATGGGCCCAGCAATTGGACAGTTGATGATGAAACAAGGTGAACACAGTCAGAAGAAAATGAGAGGTCTTCACAGAGGCTCAAAATACAATGGCATTTGATTGCTTGCAGTGCTGTTAACCTGGCAGCCTGACCTGTTCTTACTGATCAGCAGAACAGGAGCCCTGGCAGCTTCTTGGGGGAAGCCATCAAGTCCCACTTCTTAAAGTAACAGAAAATACTAAACAATAACTTTGGAATGTTTGGGTGCTTCCTTGAGAAAGAGGGGTGCAGACATTTTGTAACACAAAGACACATAAGCATCCCTTTTCTGCCAGGATTTAGCAGAATTTTCCCAACAGGGTGATACATAGATTTGCTTTTGGGAGAAAAAGCAGGCAGCAGCAGCTGGGTCAGCCTCATTGCTTCAAAAAGACACAGTATGTGGGAGTTTCCAGTGGGGCTTGTTGAACAAACCTTACAGCCAAAAGAAAGCCTAGCAGAGGATGTGTTTTTTCCTGTTCACACAATAGCTTGTTCTCCAATTTGTAAAGCTGCCTAAGAGATTTGAGCCTTAATTCCCATGAAATTTAATGAGAATTGAAGATTGAAATCCCCTAAGTAACTTCAGAGATCTCTGCCTTAAGCAAATAAAGTAGACAAATCTCACCTACTTTTGTTCAAAATGGAAAGCTTTGGGAACTAAAGTATTTAACTTGGCAACAGTGGTGGATTTGCGATTTCAGGCAGGATTCAGGCAAAATCTGGGCTCTCTCTGAAGAAATAACTCAAGGAGCAATCTTATTCACATTTACTTGGGAGTAAATTTCACTACACTCAATAGGGCTCCCTGTAATGTAGACCTGTCTTGTATAGGATTGCACTACACAGCTGCAAACTAACCTGGCAGAAAGCCCCATTCAACACAGTGAGACTTGCTTCCAAAGAAACGTAGGAAGGTGTGGCATAGTAGTATTCATACGGTGTTCATCAGCAACTACACTTACCTGTGAGTACGCTCCGTTAAGCACATTGGGGCTTGCATCACATTCACAAGCAGCGATCTTAAGCACGCTATGCAGTTCGCATGACTATAATCTGGTGCGGGGTGGGGTGGGGTGGGGGATGGACACAGGGAATCTAGGTAGACATCTTCAGGGGCTTTATGCTGTCTGACTAACTGGCATGTCACATGATGCTCACCCCAACTGTCCCATTTGCCCTATTTCTGCCATCTGTCCTAGATTTGTTCAGACCACTTACATCTCTTTTCTATGCTGCAGCTATCCCCGATACTATTTATTTATTTTATTTTTCAATTTATATCCTGCCTTTTCCCTACAAAGGGCTCAAGGCAGCTTACAACATTCTCCTCCTCCATCTTATGATGTATACATGTATACTATGATGTATACATGCATATATCAGTGTGTGCTAAACTTGTGGTACTGTTCTGGGGTCAGCAGGAATGGCTTCAGTGGCCTGGTGTGATAGAGGAAATGTCCTGCTGGGGTTTCAGCCGTGCCTCCCTTGTGCACCCCTCCATGGCTTCTCCCCCCCCCCCCCCGGCCTTCCCCTCTGATTTGCAGGTGCAGTGGTGCTTCTCTCCTCCCCTCTTTTGTCCTCTGAAATAGTAAATGCACTTTGAGCCTTTCGGATTCTGATCTTTGTCCTCTTGCCTCGAGAAATAACTAGGTGAAATTCATGTCTACTCAAAAGTAAATCATGTTCTCTTCCATGGACTTACAAATCACACTGACTTCAGTGCCACTCGTGGGAAGGTCAGCACAGGACAAGGACTGCACTTGCTTTGGGGTGCAAGAGAATGGGTAATAGTTTAGGGTTCTGCCACCTTCATCCCAGCAGCCTCACAACCTCTTCCCTTCACCTTCTCCATGATTTGTTTGTATGGAGCAGGAGCTGTCTCCCCATGCCCCTTAAAGTCTCTACTACTTTGTACTTGGTCCTTGTAATTTTCAAAAATAAAATCCCTGCACATATTCCCTAATCCTTTAACTTCTCCCACAGGTGCCTTTGGGTGTAACCCAAGCTCAACTAGACTGTATTCATTGGCATGCACACCAGCTGTGATAAATGCATTTTCCATAGATACTGAGACTGTGTTCCCCCATCAATGGAAAGTGTAAATCTGTCCAGAATAAATTCAGTGAATAAACCATATATGATCAAATTCTCAGTTTTTGAACAAAACCATCTCCTGTGTGGGCAAAGGGTCAGCACAGGGCTCAGCCATGCTCTTCTTTTCCTTGTACAAGACCCAAAATATGTGCATGCAGGCAGGGACCACAGGCCTCTGTTGTGCTTCTCAAATTCAGAGATCTAAGGTGGAAGAGATCCTGCTTTAAAACAGTGAAAAGGAGCTGTAAATTGCAAGAAGAATATGAGTCAGTAGTGTGATGCTGCTGCAAAAAAGGCTAATGCAATTTTAGGTTGCTGCAATGGAAGTATATTTTCTGAATCCCAGAAGTAATAGTTACACTTTACTCTTGCACTGATTAGACTCCACCTTAGGTACTGTCTTCAGTTCTGCACGCTGCACTTGAATAACAATTTGGATAAACTGGAATGAGTTCAGAGAATGGCAGCCAAGGTATCAGTGGACCAGAGACAAACACCTGTGAGGAAAGACAGAAGGAGCTGGCTATGTTTAGCTTTGAGAAAAGATAACTAGGAGGGTTTGTGGGGGGATATAAAGTACTCTTTGTTCCCTAAAATATTGTCACAGAGAAGGCTACAACCTTTTCTTTGTCGTGCAAGACTGTAGGACATGAAATAACAGAAGGCAGATATTAATTGAACTTCAGGAAAAAAATTAATAACCTTCAGAGCAATCAGACAATGGAATCAAATGCCTAGGGAGGTGGTGGAGCCTTGGTTCCGGAAGTGTTCAAGCAAAGACTGTGTAGCCATTTTGGGGAGATGCTTTAAAATGGATTCCTGCAGTGACCAGGGCTTGTAGTGGTCTAAATGGCCCTTTATTGATTGATTGATTGATTGCTATTTATATCCTGCCTTTTCCCTACAAAGGGCTCAAGGCAGCTTACATCATCTCTCCTATGGGTTGAAGAATCCCCGGTTGCAGCTCTGCCTCTTGACTGGATGCAAGGTTTTACCAGCTTGTATCACTTGCACTGCGGGAGAGGAGGAAAGGGAGGCCTGCGGGGGTTGGAGCTTACTGTTAACCTTCCTTGTTGTTGCAGCCCAGTCAGTGTGCACCTGTGTGCTTCCACAGAAGTGGTTGTCTTGAAGCTTGCTATTTAGCTGCATAGTGGGAATAAAATGTGCCCTTAACTTTGAGGAAACAAATAACCTGTTTTGTATGGTAAAAATGTTGAGGTGCTTGACAAAACATTTAAATTGGCTGTGTTCACTGTAGAAGCTGATCGCTCTGTCGATTTCAGTTTCTCTCGTGCACTCTCTTTTTTCAATCTTAACTGATTCATCTTATCATACACATATATGTGTGTGCGTGCGCGCATTTCTCTTGGAACATGCATTTTTGTACGCATTTCTGCTCAATATGCCCATTTTTAAAAGTAATTTTCAAAAAATGATGCATTTTGAATGCTTTCTTTGATGGAAAATCTCTTTTTTTGCAAAATTTGGGGAAGTGCAAATTCTGAAAGATAGCTGAGCGATTGGCTTGAAAGTTGTTGTAAGCCGCCCCGAGGCTGCGGCGAATGGGGCGGCATAAAAATGTTTTAATAAATAAAAATAAAAAAAGTTCAAAACTAGTTAAGCTTGCATTAAAATGCAATTCAAATCTATTTCTACCTCACTGTATATAAAAGCAGACAACAGTTATAAGTACAATTTATCAAGCATACATAGCCCTTTGTGAGGCACTTGTTGGTATGAGAGACACCCTACACATTTTAATTTTCATTTGCCAAAACTGACAAACCTTTCTGTCATGGACTTTGCAAAATGTCACTTGCTTGTGTCTCTTTACCCTGTCATTCCGATGGCATTTTGTGCCAATTCACATATACATGTTCAACACTCAGTTCCCAAAGCACTGATATGGAATGAAAAGTTGTGGGGTGGAAACACCTCCAGCAGGTGAACCAGATCTCTGCCTTTCTCATTCAACCCTGAATGCCAGTGGCTACAATGTTTCACTCAAACATGCAATGAGAGTTTAAGGATTACAAACAGATCTTTCATGCTGCTTCGGTGTGTAATGCTTTTTTTTTCTACTGAGATTGAACTGAGAAATAAGTGATGTACAAGAAGGCATAACTGGAATCTCTGAGCTTAAGAAATTCTCAATAGCTGAAAAGATGTAGTTAAAATATATATGAGTAGATTTGCCTACAAATGCTACACATGGAGGATCATTTGAGATTTCTGAAGCTGATGTGTGAAGATTCATAAATTGGCAAACAAGACCATCCTAGTTCTTGTACAGCACCCTATGCTAGCCCCGCCCCCACTTCTTTTTGGCATCTTGCTAAGAAAAGAGAATAAGTATATCACACTTATTTTGTTGGTCTTGTCATTTTGAGACGAGCTTCTGTTTCTAGATGGATCTGTTTCATCCCTCTTGTCTAATCACTGCAGACAAGCTGGGCGGTGAGGGTACAGCTTTCAAATGAGGGTTCTCAAGGGCAGTACAAAGCCCCATAAGTTCCCAAACAGCCTGGCCTCCTCTAGGGTGATCTAGCGCAGTGGTTTTCACCCTTTCCACAGCTGGGGACCAGCGAAAACTGGAAAACTGGCTCAGGAACCACCTAGGCATAAACAAAAAGCACCATACACATAATACAGTATTCTGTGTATTAGTTTCCAAACACAATACCAAAAAAAAATATGAATTTGACGGTGACAGAGAAGCTGCAAGCAATGCCACCAAAAGACCAGATTGTCTTACAAGCTGGTTTCCAAGCAGGGTCACTCAAGGTGGAATGGTCAAAACAGAGACACCAGACAAAGATGTATCCACCCTCCTCAGGAATAATGGTCACAGTAGCAGGAGAGAATGGATGTCTCTAATGCTTCATTCTGAAAAGTAAGACACCTGAGATCATTTTGCAAATATATGTTGGCTACTGGATTACACCAAAGAATTTTAGAAAATGTGCCTGTGCTTCATAGACCTCAGCAAAGCCTTTAACTGTGTAGTTTATGGAAAGCAATGGATGGTTCTGAAAAAATGGGGGTGCCTCAATGCTGTATCATCCCAATGTATAACCTGTATTGTAGACAAGATGTTACTGAAATATAGAAATATAGAAAACAGCCTGGCTTCCAACAGGCAAAAGGCAAGGGTGATTTTATTTCCCTATTTGTTTGGTCTGTATGCCAAATATATCATATGGAAAGCTGCATTAGGATCAGAGGAAGAACAACTGAAAATTGGTGAAAGAAACATCAACATTTTCAGATATACAGGTGATACTATATTACAGACAGAAAGCAGTAACGCATTGAAACAACTCTCTGTGAAAGTGAAAAAAAGAAAGTGCAAAAGCAGGAGTGCATCAGAATATTAAGAAAACAAAAATCATGACTATAGAAGAGTGACATCTTTAATGTCAACAGTGACGGAATTGAAATTGCAAATGATTTTGGATCCTTGGCTCAGCCAGAATTCAAATGGCGGCTGCAACCAAGACATGTTAAGAAGCCTGAGACTTGGAAGAGCAGCACTGAAGAAACTAAAAAAGAACATCAGCTGTAAGGCTATTTCACTGACAACCAAGGCTTCAGTCACCCGCATGACTATATGCTTGATCACTACATATGGATGTAAAAGCAGGACAGTGAAGAAAGCTGACAGAAGAAAAGAAATGCCTTTGGAACATGTTGTTTGAGGATTGCTTTGTAAATGTCCTGGACTGCAAGAAAGACAAACAAGTAGGTCCTGGATCCCATCAAGCCAGAATTCACCCTAGAAGCAAAAATGACATATCACAAGTCAGTATGATTGTCAGCTCTTTGCTGCATAGAACCTTTCGGCCTAATCTTTGTCTTGGGAAAGGCAGAGAGGAGTGAAAGTACATAGAACTG